CCCTGCGGCAGCGCTGAGTGCACCCGTGCTCCTGAGTGCCTACGTCCGCTATCAATGAAGAGCTCGGACGTGAAGCTGCTGGCGTCCGCCGCCAACCGCCAGCTTCACGCCCTCGCCGCCGAGACGTCCCCCGAGCAGCAGGGCTTCGTCAACGGCCGCCAGTTTTTGCGTAACGTCGTCGTGGTCGACGCCGCCGCCCGACGTCGCAGTCTCCCACCCAGTGCAGCTGCTGACAAGCCCGTCTTCGTCAGCATGGACATCGCGGCCGCCTTCCCCAGCCTCGGCCACCACTGGATGTGGAATGTCCTTCAGCGATGGGGCATCCACGGACACATGCTACACCTGCTTCAGTCTTGCTACCACTGGCCCGTCTCCTATCTGGACCTGGGAGGAGCACGCCGCCCACTCTTGATCGCAGCATCAGGAGTCGCTCAGGGCTGCCCGTTAAGCGGCACGATCTGGGCACTCGTCTTCGACCCCGTCATCAGAGCCCTCACCAGTGAACTCTCAGCCATCGAGCGCGGCCTGGTCAGCGCCTGTGCTGACGACCTCGGCATCATCCTCGCGAGGCTCGCGGACATCAGCAAGCTTGCGCCGCACATCATAGCGGTGGAGAATCTCGCGGGCCTGCGCCTCCAGGCCAAGAAGTGCATCGTGGTCCCGACCTGGGCGCTGCCCACACAGGACATTATCGCTGAGACACGTCAAGTACTCGCTGCCGCCCACGCTCCCTGGGTTTCCTTCAAGGTTGAGTCCAGTGCCCGCTACCTTGGCTTCTTTATCGGCCCAGGTGCTACTCTTGCCGACCAATGGCGCGGCCCCGCTGGCAAGTGGTGGGACCGCATCGAGAAGCCAGCCGCGTCCCACGCGCCCATTCAGCAGAGCATCAAACTCTACAACGTCGCTGCCGTCACGGTCCTCGGCTATGTCGGCCAGCTGTTCGAACCCTCCGAGGGCATCCTCCAGAAGGAGCGGCAGGCCATCCACAAGTTGCTGCGCGTCGCCCCGTCCAGCTTCGCGAAGTCCGACATCCTTGCGATGTCCCTCTGGACCAAAGCTGAGGTCCCCATCGGCATCGAGAACTATCTGGCGGCCACTATGTGGCGTACTGCCACCACCACGGTGGCAGAGTGGCGTGACGCAGCAAACGCGCTCTGCGACGCTGCGTACGAGCAGCTCCCTCTCGTCACTGCGCAGCGCGGCCACTGGTGCAGCGAGTGCTGGTCCATCAAGACGTCCATCGTCCAGCGCTTCGAGCACATCACCAACTCCACTTTCTTCGCCGACTGCAAGGGCTCCCACCTAAAGAGGCTGACGCGCACGGCTGGCCCCCTTCCTCGCGCTCGAGCCGCCATGATTGGCATCCACAAGCGTGCTGCACGTGCTGGAATTCGGGCTCTACTACAGCAACAACATGAACAGCGCCGACGCCAAGCAACACGGATCACACCGCAGAAAGCCTACATGACGTCCCTCAACGAGCAGCTCTACACCGATACGATGGCGGACACCATAAAGCGGCGTCTCCTGCCCTGGTCCCCGTCCCTTGACCCCGCGAAGACGCTCACCAGGGAGCCTCCCAGCGGACCTCGCCGAAACGCCGAAATCGTACAAGAACGTCTAGCAGCACGTGCTCGCGCTTGGGCCGCCCACTGGCCACCCGACATCCTGCCCAACGACCGCACGATCGACAACTACTCGGACTGGACGCAGCGGTGCACGGAGTACCTGTACGAGCTCCTCGGCACCGAGACTTTTCGCCCGCTGTACGCCACCTCCATACGCCGTCGACAGATCGCCACCGACATGTGCCAGCAAGCGTGGGACAACAGCGGTACTGGCAGAATCCTCCTCGAACATCGACTCTCAAGATCGCTGACCCGCTCTGGAGAACCGAGCAGCCTGATTTCGCTACACCAGCACGAAGCAGCCCAACATCGTGCCCGCCGCCGCTGGGTCGCCAACTTTCTCCCGTACCACTTGCCCGACTCTGATGTCAGCGACGTCGACATCTCCGAGGGGGGCGAAGACCCTCCTGCCGACGGAGACGGGCCTCCTGATCTTTTACGTCTCCAGCGGGTTCCCGCTTACCTGCCAGCACGCTGGAAACGACTGCGCACCTACCTGGCAACGCAACCGCCTGCACGGATGTGGGCCACCATGAAGGCCCTTGCTGGCGCCTGGACCACCAGCTTCCGCATGCACGTCATCCAGGACAAGCGACCCTGCCACTTTGGGTGCACCCACCAGTACGCCCAGGACAGCATCCAGCACTACCTCGTGTGCGAGCGGATGTGGCACCAGCTCAGCCTGCCCCGCGGCCAGCTGAGTGCCAACCTCCTCACGCGCATGGCGCTCCCCGAGCTGTCGGACCCGTTCGACGGCGAGAACGGCATCCCGAACTCCGCCACGCGCCTCGCCGTTGCGACGCGGGCGTACCACCTCACGAAGGACTACATCCTTCCGATCTCGTACTACAAGCAGAACACGGCCTTTGCTGCCGCTCGCCGCGCCCTCCAGCTTCCTGCTGATCTGAGTGGAGGTGCGGGCGCGCCGCGGCGTGGCTAAGCTCGAACGAACCTGCTCTCAAGGTTACGTTCGCTCCTCCTCCTCCTCCTCCTCCTCCCCCTCCTCGTCCTCCTCCTCCTCCTCCTCCTCCTCCTCCTCCTCCTCCTCCTCCTCTTCCTCTTCCTCTTCCTCTTCCTCATCTTCTTCCGCCTCCTCCTGTGCCCCTGTGCTCCTGATGGCTCAGGTGTCTCTCAGACGCAGCCGCTTCCCCCAGTGGGGCCCGGTCGGGACCCCCTGGGGGAGTAGTAGAAAGAGAGAAGATTAGGGACGCGAAGTCCCGGGGCAGACAGGAGGGAGAGGGGAAAGGAGAGGCATCACGGCATACATCATATCATGAGAACCTCGGGCCGATGAAGAAGGAGTAGGACTAGGGCGGCAGCGCAGCGTGGGCGGCGCGTGGCGAGTGCGGGCCCGAGGGCCTGAGTTAGGTCCTCCCTCCAACGGGTCGCGTTTTCCGCTTGGGCCACCGCCCTGGATGGCGCCCTGGGCCCCCCCCCCGGTAGGGGGGCCCGCGATGGAGGGGGGGCCGGGGCGGAGGCAGTCGGCGGAGGGAGGTGTAAAGCAGTGTGCGGAGGCGCGCAGGTTTGAAAAGGGGCGTGGCGGCGTAGAGGTGGCAGGCGGCGTGGCTGGGGAGTGCGAGCGGCGAAGGTGGCAGTGCGGAGATTATTCCGCGGGGCCCTCTGTGGGGTGCCGCTTGCTGGTAACGTGGCGGCGGCGCTGGCTTGCCAAAGTAGGCGGCAGAAAAGGCCGCAACCCCTGCAAATAGGACCCCCCCCGAAGCGGCCACCATCCCCAAGACTAGTACCCTCCCCGCCGAGGCAGGGTTAGGGCACCCAGATCTCGAGAGTGGCGGCTGGTTGGGGGGGTCCACCGTGCGTGGGTGTGGTTTCTGCCATCCGCGGCGGTGGCACGGGTGCGTCGTGGTTTGCTGACCCCCTCACCGCCATGAACCTCTCCGACCCTCACCCCTCCATAGAGTGCTGGCCGCGAGCGCCGGCTGCAGCCGCGGCCGCCCTGACCCTCGCCAGGACGGCCCGCGGCGAGGTCCTTCCCACCCCGTCCCCGCATCTATACCCCCTGCCTGCCCCACCACATTAGGTGAGCACGGTTGGGGAATGTTGGAGGTTGGCGGGGGCCTTCAACACTGACACGTGACCCACTTGCAATCGTCTGAGAATGATCACAGTCGCTACTGATGTTCTCGCCGTACTGTGCTGCCTGTGCCAGTGGTGTATCTGAAGTGGGTGAAAAAGCCCCGTAGGGATCCAGAGGTGGAGTCCCGCACCACCAGCTGCGCTGGTTCCGCCATACGGTGAGCGCGCACGTGTTGGTAATAGGATAGTGCCGAGAAAGGGGATGGGTGGGTAGCCGCTGGTTGCCCTGTCTGCTGTGTATAGAAAGGATATGTGTGACGATATGTTGTCCCTGCCGTCGCAGGGACAACATATCATCACCTCCTCCTCTTGCTCCTCCTCCTCTTCCTCCTCATCCTCCTCCTCCTCCTTCTCCTCCTCCTCCTCCCTCCTCACCCCACTTTCTCCTCCCCTTCCTCCCTCACCACTTCTCCCCCCTCTCCCTCCTCCCACCTCCTCCTCCCCTCCTTCCTCCCTCACCCCTTCTCCCCACTTTCCCTCCTCTTCCCCCCCTCCCCCCCTCTTCCTCCTTCACCCCAATGGGCCACTGCCGGGCCCCGCGAGGGGGACCCCATCGTTGGCGGTTCGGGGGGCATTGTGTGTTGGGGCGCTTGCCCTGAGACCTGGACGTCGCGTTTTTGCTCGCAACAGGCCGTATCCCTCTGGCCTTCCGGGCGTTGGGGCACCCTCGCGGGCCAGTCCGGCTCGGGAGGTGCCGCGGGAAGATGGGGTCCAGGGCTTCCAGTCGTGATGTCCCACGTTTGTGCAGTTTTTGTTCGCGGCGTCGGGTCGCAGGGTCCCTCCCATTTCCCCATCGGGCTGGCCCCAGGGTCGGATGGCGCCCGTCTGTGTCTTTCGTGTTTTGTTGTTGATTCTCTCTCTCTCTCTCTCTCTCTCTCCCGCGCGCTTCGGTTCCAAGCCGAAGCTGCCGTCCAGGTGCGAGGAGGGAGGGGCATCGGGGCCAGCGTGGGGGGGAGCTGCGCTCGGGGTGGGACGCCTCGGCCCCCCATCGCCACGTCATCGCCGAAGGGGGCCCGATGGCCCACCCGGCCCAGGAGCGTGCGGAATTGCCGTCGGTGGCCCCCCCCCGAGCCCGTGCCCCCTTTGTGTGTTCCCCTCTCAGGGGATGCAGCAGGAGGAGGCCCTCTCCCCCTCCCTCCCTCCCTCCCCCTCCCTCCCTTCCTCTCCCTTCCTGCCCCCTCCCTCCCTCCCTCCCTTCCTCCCTCCTTCCCCCTTCCCTTCCAATTCCTCCCTCCCTCCCTCCCTCCCTCCCTTCCTCCTCCATCTTTCTCCCACCAGGGCTCGCGCTGGGGACCCTGGTGCTGCCCACGCTGTTCGCCGTGCAGGCGGACGTCAACGTCGTGCTGTCCGTCGCATTCCGACTGAGGGGAGGGAGGGCGCCACGGGGGATGGGGAGGAGGGGAGGAGGGAGAAAACGAGGGAGGGAGAGAGCCGGGGAGGGTTCAGGGAGCATGACCGTCCCCAGTTGTTTCACATGTTCTCTTTCGCTGGCTCTACGAGGGAGGGGCCGAGCGCGAGGAAGGCGAGGGCGAGAGGATAGAGGATGAACCTAACCCCTGCTAACGCTCTTGCGCTGGATCTCGAGCGAAGCCAAGCTGTTCAGCTCGCATCTTCCCCTGCGAGTGCACTCGTTCCCCCTACCGCAGCATCGTCCGTATCCTGATTATCTTCCTCATTATCCTCGTCCCCGGCGCTCTCAACCCCCGCATCCTCCTGATCATCGTCATTCGCATCCTCGTCCTGTTCCTGATCCTGACAGGAGGAGGAGGAGGAAGAAGAAGAGGAGGCGGAGGAGCAGCAGGAGGAGACAGTTGAGGAGTGACTCCTTCTCCTCCTTCTTTTCCTCCTCCTCCTCTTCTTCCACATTTGCCTCATTACCATCCTGATCTCCTCCTCATTATCCTCCCTCCTCCCCCTGCTCCACGAGCGACTGCGACCTGCGGTCCGAGTTCTTACGCATTGAGGGGACCTAATGAGGAGGAGGATCAGAGGAGGAGGAGTGTCAGAAGCAGGAGCAGGAAGAGTGGTTCTGATGGGTGATCCCGAGTTCGAGATGTCGGATAATCATCTTCCAGTCGACCCCGAGGCCGAGATCTAGAATTGTCTGCCTCCACTGGCAGGTTGCACCGAAACGTTGATTATCCGAGGATGTCGTACCCGCTTTGAAGAAAGTCAGGTCATATATGTCAGCGGTCACACGAGGATGAGGATTGGAGAGGCTTTTCGGCCAGTGCCGCCGACCCTGAACGACGACGGCGACGACGACGACGACCACGACGACGACGAGCTCTCACACGAGGATGAGGATTTCGTCCCAAGGCGTTTTGAACTCGACCTCTCGACGTTTTGCATCGGCTGACAACTGTGTTGCTGGAGGTACGACATGGACAGGTTGTGGACTTTAGAGCAGGGAGCGCGCACTTCGTCAATCGGCTGGGATTCGTAATTATGTCCGTGTTCCTTGCACGCACGGAGGGCAAAAGCAGAAGGGGAAGGGGATGGGATTGGAGGAAGACGAGGAGGAGGGAAGGGGGAACAGGAGCATCAGGAAGACAGGGGGATCGCGGTCGGGAGTCCACAGACACTCGTCGGCGCGAGCGTGCGCGTGCCGATCCGAGCCACGGCCTGATATCTCCCGCCTCGCCACTACAGTGCCGTTCTTCCTTTCGCAAGCCCTATCACCGCCCCCCCATTTCATTCACCCCCTCCTCCTCCTCCTCCTCCTCCTCCTCCTCCTCCTCCTCCCCCTCCTCCTCCTCCTCCCCCTCCTCCTCCTCCTCCTCATCATCATCATCACCATACGATTACTACCTGTCTCTTTTTCATGCTCATGCTCCTCCTCCTCATCCTCCTTCTTCTCCTCATCCTCCTCATCATCATCATCATCATCATCATCCTCGTCATCCTCCTTCATCTCCTCGTCCTCCTCATCCTCATCTTCCTCACACATCTACCCTTCTACCCATCTACTCGTCCTCGTCCTCCTCCGTCTGCCTTCTTTCCTCCTCCTCCTCCCTCCTCCTCCTCCTCCTCCTCCTCCTCCTCCTCCTCCTCCTCCTCCTCCTCCTCCTCCTCTCCCTCCTCCTCCTCCTCCTCCTCCTCCGCCTCCGCCTCCGCCTCCTCCTCCTCGTCCCACCCCCTGGCGTGTCAACATCGCCCTCCCGCTCCGCTCCCTCGTCGACCTCCTCCCACATCCTGGTTCTCCTCCGTCTGCCCGCCTCTCCCCCCCAAACCCGCAGTCGGCACGCACCAACCTTCGAGGTGCGTGACCGCCCAGGCTAGGCGCATCGCCGCCGATAGTCCCCTGCTGGAAAGCTATAGAGCCTCCACGCCTCCACGAGCCTGCGGGCGAAGTGCCCGTGACCCAGGCCTCGGGAGGGTCGCGCGGCGCAGGCACCTTTGCGCCCTCCCCCCCTCCTCTCCTGCAGGGGCCGCGCCGAGGGGGGGCAGCGGGTGGGGCAGCAGCGGGGGCGCCCGCGATGCTCCCCTGCGGCGGCGGGGCGGTCCGCGCGTGCTCCCTGGCGGCCGCCCCGGGCGCCGGCCCGGCAAGCGGCGCCGGCCTCGCCCGGGCCGCCTTCGGGAGCTGCGGGGGAGGCCCAGACATGCCGAGATCACCGACGGCGTGATGCTTTCAATGCGGGCCTGTTTCCTTCCTTCTGTGTCCTTCCTCCGGGCGTTGTTCTCCTGCACCTCGGGCCCGCCATCGGGCCCAGGAGGCCAGCAGATGCGGATCCGGGGCGCAGAACTGGCCCCAGGGCGGGGGTCGGGAGCTCTGGGGCCGCGGATTGAACAAGTCATCTCGGAGGATGTCTGGGTGAGCATTGCTCCTTCGCGGTCTGCCCGGGAGCGCCGGTTCCAAAACGTGCTCCCGCTGCAGCCGTAGCCATTTTGGCTCAAGGGGCCCGCGGGGTGGCGTGGCGCCGCGCCGCGGCCGCGCCGCGGCCCAGCCTCGGGGCGGCGCGGCAGCCTGGCTTGCGCCCTGGTGGCCGAACTCCTGATCTCCGTCCGTGTCGAGCCACTACTTCTCTACTTTCGCTTCGAGGATCGAGCGCAACCTCGTGAAGCCTAGCCTCGCCATCCCGCGCGCATGGTGCTGCTCGCAAGCCTGGGCACGGAACAGCTCGTGGCCGCTGCGTCTGGCGCGCTGCAGTCGCAGAGCGCGCTCGCGTCCGCGGTGGCGGCCGCCGAGATCGCCGCGATCGGCGTGAACAACTGGGGCGCCAGTCTCGGCCTGGCGGCGTGCGCCGCCGGAGTCGGCGCGGCTGCAGTGGCCGCCGCCGCGGGGAAGTTGCGGTGCGGCGCCGACGGTCAGGCAAATGATTGCCTTGGAGGCAATTGACGCCCACCGAAGGAGGAGACTGTCCAGGCGGTTCCTCAAGGCACATCGTGGGGTATGTTGGCGACGCCCGTGGCGATGTCCCTGATGTCAATCCCGGCGCTGCTGGGTAGCTGATGTTGGCCTCTGCTGATCGCCGTCTCCTTCGGGGCGTCAGGCGTGTCGACGGCGAAGACTCGAGCGGTGTCGCACTCGCTGTCCTGGGGGTTGCACATCGGGGCGCTGGGAGCCCTGGCTGTGTACGTGTTCGCGCGCACCCCCGGCGACCGCGTGTCGTCGCACCCGCTGATCCGCTGGGCTCCGTTCGTGCTCGTCGTGCTGGGGTCCCTCATGGTGCTGCTGGACCTGACACGCCACGTGCTTCTGGACCAAAACATCGCGCCAGTCCACCTCCACATGTACAACAAGGACGGCTCTCTAACCGCTGTGGGTGAGATGGGTATGTATTGCACCTGGTGTGGTGTCGTGCTGCTGGTCATCGGCACCGGCTGGTTCCTCAATTACCAGGACAAGATCGCGAGTCTGTACCAGTCCATGTTTGGGAAGGCTGGCACTCCCGCGCCAGCGGCTCCAGAGGAGCGCGCCTAGGCGCCGCCGCGCCCTTCGCAAGCCGCCCGGCGGCGGCGGGGCCGCCCGCGCCCAGGATGACAGGCGCTGGATCCCAGGCTTCTGCGGGTGCTCGAGGCCCCGCGGTGCTCGGCGCCGGCGCCTTGAGAGGATGGGCAGCGGGCGGCGCCGCCGGCGATCTTCTCGGTGGCTCCAGGGGAGGAGGAGGGGGAGGAGGAGAAGGAGGAGGAGGAGGAGGCGCAGGGGCGGCGCGGGGCGCGGGGAGCCACGGGCGCGGGCCGCACCAGCGGCCGCGCCCTCCCTCGGCGCTCGCCAGCGTGTTGCCCGCTCGCGACGCTGCGCGGCCAGGCCCGCGGTCGGAGAAACAACAACAACAACAACAACAACAACAACAACAACAACAACAACAACAAGAATAACAACAGCAGCAACAACAACAACAAAACGTGCTGCCGCTGCAGCGCGGGCGTCCTTCCAAATAGGCCCCAAACTAAGAAAATTACCCCCAGAACAAAAAACACATCGAAAGTGATTACACATCCGGTGTCGATTCGTTGAGTTGTTGGGCCGCAGAAAGCGGTGGCGGCGGCGTTTGAAGGAAGTATCAAGCGGGAGCTCCGTTTCTGCTTTCAGAAAGCGATGTTGCAAGCAGAGCCAGCGGGTGCTCTCCATCAGCCCCGCCTTGTGGGGAGCTTTTCGCGGAGCCCAGGGAGCTCAACATGGAGCCGCGACTCCAGACCCGCGTAGACCCTTAGAAGAGTATCCACTTACCCTCCAAGGAGCCCAGTGCCCTCCCATGACATGCTGTGCGGTGTTCTGTCCTGCGCCGTTGTACGATGTCATGTGTTGTGTTGCAATGTTTTGTGATGCAATGCTTCGCTACGCAATGCCACGCCATGCTATGACAGTATACGTGCTGCCGTGCTCTTCTACGCCATGCCATGCCGTGCTCTACGATGCATCGCACACCCTCTCGCGACCAGTGCCCTGCTCGACATCCGACTGAGCGAATAGAGAGGAGATCTACGCCATGGCAAGGGAAGGGAGGGAGCGGTACGCCGTCAGATATGACGCGAGCGCACCTAGCTTGTCCTCCTGCTCCTCCTCCTCCTCCTCCTCCTCCTCCTCCTCTTCCTCCTCGTCATCCTCCTCTTCCTCCTCCTCCTCCTCCTCCTCCTCCTCCTCCTCCTCCTCCTCCTCCTCCTCTTCCTCTTCCGCAGCAGAGGCAGTCCGCACGCGCGTTCGGGCAAGGCGGGAGAGGCGGCATCGCTAAGAACCCGCAAACACATGTAAGGGCTACTGAAAAAGTGCCACTGAAAAAAGTCACCGCCAATCCCGCACCGCCAATCCCGCACCGCCAATCCCGCACTGCAAAAGTGCCACTGAAAAAATGCACCGCCAATCCCGCACCGCCAATCCCGTTCGCGTCTCATGGGCTCTGTCTTGGAGCGGCGGCCATGGCCAACACGGGGTCACACAGCCCCGCTCGGTCACGGGGCCAACACGGGGTCACACCGGCCCCGTTGGGCCCGCGAGGGCTCCCGACAGGGGTCGCACAACATGCCCGCCAACACGGGTGTGTGCCACTGCCGAAAGTTGGCAGCGCTACAAAATCGGCGCGGCCAAGTAAGGGGCGCAGCTTCTTGTGTGGTTGTATATGTTTTGTTTGTCTGATACCCAGACACTCGACTTGTTGTTGTGGTCAGCTCAGCTCGTTGTGTAGCATTTGTTTTGTTGGTGGTATCAGTTGTGTTGTGTTGGTCGCCGTGTGTTTCGATATCGATTGTTTGTGATGACGAGGACGACGACGGCGACGGCGACTGCGACGACGACACAACGGCGAAAGCTGACGTGATCGTTCGTCCCCCCCCCCCGCGGACACGAGAGGGAGGAGGACGAATGGCCACGACGACGAACGACCACAACAAAAATAAAGGGCTCCGCGGCCCATGGGGAGGAGGCAAGGGAGGCCAGGGAAGGGAGGGAGGACACTCAGTGTCTGGCATCCCTGGTCCCCTCGGCATCCCTGGCCTCCCCCCCCCCGAAGGGCCGCGGAATCTGCCATTTTCGTCGTCGTCGTCGTCCGACGCAGTCGGTCGTCCTTCCCCCTGGTTTCCCTGGCCTACCCCCCCCCCGGGGCGACTGATCGGAAAGCCCCCCTGTTCGTTCGTCCTCCCGCTCCCCGTCGCCTCCCTGGCCTCCCCCGCCGCTTGGGCCGCGAATCCTTCTCTTAGCTTGCACAGCGCTGTGTGTTCTACAACCCTCCAACGAAAAGAACTCCGTCTTTTATGTTGGGCCATGTGGCCAGAGAAAGCCAAGAACGCGATTGAAGTCGAGTCCTGTTCGCACTAAAAGGAGGCGCGCGCGCTACGAAGGATGAACCGGCCCTCGTCGACGAATAACACACATAATTCTGACTAGTCGATTTGAAGAACGCGCAAGGTTTCCAACCAAAAAGAAATAGCCCGGCGACGGACCAACCATATGCAGTTGTAAGGTCCGCACTTGTAGATATAGTCTTAGGTGGAGCCCCCTGTGGGGCCACAAAACTTGTGAGTGGTGTGCCGATGAAAAGTGGGGGAGAAGCATGCGGACCCTGCCACTGGTGACGAAGCTGATGACGATGATGATGATGATGATGATGATGATGATGATGATGATGATGATGATGATGACAACGGTGATGCTGATGATGATGACGATGTGAGGGGCGTGCCGAAGCTAATGGTGATGATGATGATGGTGATGATGACAGCGACGATGATGACGATGCTGATGTTGATGATGACTGTGCTGGTGTTGTTGATTATGATGGTGATGACGGTGATGATGACGATTACGATAGTGACGATGGCGATGGTGATGATGATGTTGATGATGATGACGATGGCGATGACGATTATGATGGGAGGAGGGGGGCGGCGGAAGGAAGGAACACGGGGCGCACTCTTCAAAGGCGCTCTCTTCAAAACGAGTACCCGACGCCACAGGATTGTTGGGAATATCTTGTTTGAATAAAACCTTGCGAACGAGGGCAAGGCAAGGCGTATGCCGAAAGATCCTTTGCCAGAGATAGGCTTCAAGAGTTGATCTCGTCGGCCGCGCGCCGTCCCGCGTGCTTCGCAAGTTGGGGGTTGGGGCGACCTTGCGGACGCAGCTGGTTCTAACGAGCTTGCGCCGACAGCCGCCAAGGTAAACATCAAATTCGTTTAGCCGGTAGGTGGTACGATGCCGAAGGCGCCCACGGTGAACCACCGTTGCCCCTTGCTTTTTGGAAACGCCTATGTGGCTAAACGTTGGGCCAGAGCTTGGCCACACTATTGAAACATGTGTTCCGCCAGCCGCTGTGGAAACCCTTCGGGGAACATTTGGGGGGGGAAGGGGAAGAGACCGAGATTGGAGGTAAACTGAAGAGGGAGGTAAAACGCGGAGGAGGAGGAGGAGATAAGAGACTGAGAGGGTCGGAGGGTGTTGATACGTCTCTTCAAACCGTCGTTGCAGAAATTTGCGGCAATACACGTTTCGCAAGCGATCATTGTTATGCCGTTGCCCACCGTAGCCGTTTTGTTTCCAGGTTGTTGGGCACAATCCCTCGTCGATCATGCCGATCTTCTGTAACTGGTGACGCGGATGCCAGTTGCCGCGCAGAGGAGACGCGATATCCACGCGCTACTCTTGCAGCCGTTGCGGTGGACAACGGTGCCCCAAATTGTGCAAATGCGGACGAGGGGGAGCCATGGAAAGAAATGCAGGTCGGGGGAGAGCGCTGTCAGCAGGAGCGGCCCCTGGAGTCAGAGCAGAATTGCAGCAGCCGAGCGTCCGTGGCCCCGTGGGTGCCCCATTCGCAGCTCGCTTCCCACATGCTCTCGACGGCCGACTGGCACCGCCAGATGCTGGAGGGAATGCAGACGGCGAGGGAAGTCATCGTGGCGTCGTATTTGTTCGACCATGGTGTTGCGCGCGTTCAACCCCTCAGGCGATTGCAAGGCAGAGGCGCCTTTGAATTGCAGGTTTTGATTGACCGCGAGGCCTTCCTGGAACGAAAGGCGCCCCGACAGCGGCCGCGCTTAGAGTTGCTGCGCCGCGCGGCTGGAGATGCGCACTTGCGCCGCGGCACGCCTCCGTTAGGCAGGTTTCAGATGAAGGTTGCAATCCTCGAGCGCCGCACCGTTTTTACGGGGAGCTCCACCATCACCGAGAAGAGCCAGGAAAACACAGAGCTGGCTTTGTGCATGGCGGGCCCGCTTGCAATGGTCATCCCCTGCGAGACGCGGAGGCTGCGCGTGTGCGCGGGCAGCTCTGACCTAGCCAGCGACCTCCCGTCCGACCTCCCCCCCTCCCAGTCCTTTTCTCCGACCCTCCCTCCCGTGCTACGGCGAAAGGTTATTGATGCAGCAAATTGAAATACCAATAAAATCCGCCCACCTCTAGCGCCGCGTAAAATACCCGCGCAGTCTTGTATGACATCTCCGCTCCTCCTGGGAACGAGTGTTTTCCGCTGCGGAGGGATACCATCGTTTCACGAGTGCCACAGGATCTGGACGCCGAAAGACATCAGAAAGCACCAACAATCCATCGACATCTAGCACCTTGAAATATACCAGCACACTCTTGAATGACGTTTCTGGTCCTCCTGGGAACAATAATTTCCCGCTGCGGCGAGAGACTGTTGCTTCGCTATTGCCAAAGGGTCTCGATGCCGATCAGACAACACCCACAATCCATCGACATGTAGCGCCTAGAGATATACCAGCACACTATTGGATGAGATTCCCGCTCCTCCTGGGAACGAGTGGTTTCCGCTGCGTCTGCAGAAACCACCAACAATCCATCACAATCACGCCCCTAAAAATATTACAACGCACCCTTGTATGACATTGTCGTTCCTCCTAGGAACGAGCACTTTCCGCTGCGGCGAGAGATTGTTGGTTCACGGTTGCCAAAGGATGTGAATTCCGAAAGACATCAGAAATCGAATTGGCGCGCGTCGCCCGTGGATCAGTCTTGTATTGCCTTGCATG